CATTTATAACATCATAAAACATACTCAACCCCTGCCAATTTGGATTCAGGAAAAATAAAAGCACTAATGATGCAATTATAAAAATGCTAGACCTGCTTTACACAGCATTGGAAAATAAGGAACATCCGCTAGGAATTTTTATTGACCTAAGAAAAGCGTTTGACACAGTAGACCACGGCATCCTACTCCACAAACTTGACCATTATGGTATAAGAGGCCATGCACTTGCATATTTTAAGTCTTACCTTTCTAATAGGTATCAGTATGTCACCATTAAAGACACAGCCTCATCAATACGGCCACTTGATACTGGAGTTCTGCAGGGAAGTGTCCTTGGACCCCTGCTCTTCCTCATTTACATCAATGATCTTCCAAACATATCCCAACACCTGAAACCCATTCTCTTTGCTGACAACACGACTTATGTCATCTCTCACCCTAATCTTGCCACCCTCAACACCATTGTTAATGAGGAGCTGCTCAAAATATCGACTTGGATGACAGCCAATAAACTTACACTTAACACTGGCAAAACCTACTATACAGTGGACCCCCGCATAGCGAACTTAATCCGTGCAAGAGGGCTGGTCGTTATGCGAAATGTTCGCTATGCGAATTAATTTTCCCCATAAGAAATAATGGAAATAAAATTAATCCGTGCAAGACACCCAAAAGTATGAAAAAAAAATTTTTTTACCACAAAAAAATGTTAATTTTAGTACACACAAACTGAAAAAGGCATGCACAATTACATGACACTTACTTTTATTGAAGATCTGGTGATGATTGATGGGATGGAGGAGGGAGAGAGAGTGTTAGTGTTTAGAAGGGGAATCCCCTTCCATTAACACTTGAGGAGGCAAGTCCTTTTCCGGGGTTACTTCCCTTCTTCTTTTAATGCCACTAGGACCAGCTTCAGAGTCACTGGACTTCTTTCTGTCCATAGAGCTCTGTACCTCCCGTTCCTTTACGATTTGTCTAAAATGGGCCATAACATTGTCATTGAAATAGTCACCAGCACGCCTTGCAACAGCTGTGTCAGGGTGATTTTCATCCATAAAGGTTTGCAGTTCAACCCACTGTGCACACATTTCCTTAATTTTTGAAGTAGGCACAATGGATTCCACAACTGGCATAGGCTTCTCAGGGTTAGCCCCAAACCCTTCAAAATCTTTCTTAATTTCCATACTAATTCTCACCCTTTTTACCACAGGGTTGGCACTAGAAGCTTTCTTGGGGCCCATGGTCACTTATTTTCAACAAACAGAACCGAAAACACTGTAATAATACGAAATATTCCGAGTGTATGCTTGAATGTTACCGCGGAGGCTAGCTGGTAAACAATGGGACAGGCGGCACATGTGAGGCTGGCCGAGGCCGCACATTGGACGCGTCTCGGACGAAGTTCGCTGAGCGGGTTTTTGTCTACTATGCGGGGCAAAATTTTAGCGATCAAAGCGTTCGCTATGCGGAATGTTCGCTATGCAAGGCGTTCGCTATGCGGGGGTCCACTGTATTATGTTTGGTAGCAGAGCAGGTGTTGCGCAACTTAATATTAAGATCGACAACACTCTAATTGGCAGACATAATGAGGGCAAATTCCTTGGCCTATACCTCGACAAAAACCTAAATTTCAGCACCCATATCCAACACATAACAAAAAAAGTATCCAAAACGGTGGGGATCCTCTCCAAGATACGATACTACATGCCGTAAACTGCCCTTCTCACACTATACCATTCACTTATATATCCATACCTCACCTATGCTATCTGTGCTTGGGGATCAACTGCAGCAACACACCTAAAGCCAATAATAACCCAACAAAAAGCCGCAGTAAGAATAATCACTAAATCCCATCCCTGGCAACACACCCCCCCACTCTTCATAGATCTAAACTTACTCCCTGTTCAGAACATCCACACTTACTACTGTGCAGTCTGTATCTACAGGACCTTAAATTCCAATATTAACCTTGACCTAAAATGCTTTCTTGATAGTTGTGACAGGATCCACAGGCATAACACCAGACACAAACATCTCTATGACATTCCCCGTGTTCGACTAAACCTTTACAAAAATTCAATGTATTTTAAAGGCCCTAAAATCTGGAACACCCTTCCTGAAAACTCTAGAACTGCAGACACATTCATCACTTTCAAAACTACAGTTAGAAAACATCTTATCTCCCTGATCCACCCCGACAACTAACTACATGATAACCACCTGGTGGTTCACAATTACACTCACTCACCCACTGACTATAAACCCAGAAATACTAATCTTAATCTTAAAATAATAAATCCTAACTAGTCATAAGTTTGCCTATGATACTCCAATATAGACACTTTGTATTGTGCCAAAACAAAAGCATTCACATTGCTAAACTCACAAATTATGATGTAGTCACTTAGCCTTAATACCATAATCTGTAAGGATTTAATGTTAAGAATTAATCTAAGTCTGCTCGAAATGCCTAGCCAGGCTAGGTGTCCTAGTGGCCCCCTGTGTAATTAGTATTTTATAACATGTAAACTACACAATACCCAAAACCTGTAATCCCTACATTGTAACCCTTATAGAGAATAAACTTGAATTGAATTGAATTGAATTGAATAATGGCATACTACTGAAATATTGATGTTGGTTGGCTTAAGGACCAGAAGTAGCTTGAAATATAGCTCCAAGTAGCAGAAATATTTGATTTTTTGCTGATTTTCCTGAGGACGGGTAAGGCCCCTCTACATACCCTGGTCTGTTTTATGAGTTTTTAATAGGTCTGATTAAATTAATGGGACACCATAAACTATGGCAAATTATTCCTGGTTATACAGTGGAACCTTGGCTTACGAGTGCCCCACCATACGAGTTTTTCAGGATACAAGCAGTCGCTTGATCGATTTTTTTGTTTCTGGATATGAGCAAAAATTCAGGATGCGAGCTTCCCCCTCAAACAACTTTTTTTTAGACCTCAGATCTTACAAAAATAAAAGTGAATATATAATTGTAGTTCATTATCGTAATGTATTATGCTGTTTTTTACTACTTAACCCGTAAATGGTCCAAACGTATATATACGTTTTTTCAACATTTGAAAGTATGTAAAAAAAAGTAGATCTTCTTTTTGTTTTTTTACATTTGAAAATGTGTAAAAACACTTTGATCTACTTTTTTTTTTTTGTTATATTTGAAAATATGTAAAAAAAAACGTAGATCTACTTTTGTAGCACTACACATGTGAACGTAGATCTGCTTGGACCGTTTACGGGTTAAGACTATGACTGCTACAGAAATAATAGTATTTCTTACCTTAAATTGTGGGTGCTGGTGTTTGTAGATGATTGTGAAGAGAGTGGAGAGTTATGTTGTGGTCCTACTGGGCTGAGGTGGATGGTAGAGGTTCTGGTACTGAAGTTGATGGCTGTACTGGAGTGTGCATAAATTCTGTAATGGATTTCTGTTCTGTTTTACACTGCAGTACATTATACAACTGACAGTAAGGCATCAGCTGCTCTAGACACTGTTTCAGGGTCCTCTTCAGTGAAAAAGTCTAACTTTAAGTCATTCAGTAAGTCAGTCAAGTTATTCAGTCAGTCAGTCAAGCTATTCAGTCAAGTCAGCCAGTCAAGTCAGTCAAGCTATTCAGTCAAGTCAGTCAGTCAAGTCAGTCAAATCAGTAAGTCAAGTCAGTCAGTCAGTCAGTCAAGTCAGTCAGTCAAGTCAGTAAGTCATTCAGTCAGGTCAGTAAGTCATTCAGTCAGGTCAGTAAGTCATTCAGTCAAGTCAGTAAGTCAGTCAGTCAAGTCAGTAAGTCATTCAGTAAATCAGATGCTGTGCCCAACATCTCTTCTCCATCATCAACCTCTGCCAGCATCTCCACCATCAACCACCAACATTTCTTCTCCAAGGTCAATGCTGTAGTATGTACATACATAATTTCTTTACATTGTTTTCCTTATGAAACTACGTAGTGATCTAATGTAGTTTGCTTCACAAACATTCCACTTTTCTGTTATAATAAGAACATGGGAAGGTATGTAGTCAGGAGCAGGAATGGCCACTGTGGTGGCCCTATGGACCCCAACAACAACAATGGCCGCTGTCCCGCTGCCACCACCACTAGCCATATACGTAATGACGTAGTATTTTATTCATGCTAGCGTATATATCATGTTTCTATGTTATTAATATTGTTTATTATGTCATATTAGGTGAATTGTGATATATAAATAAGCCGTAGTTGATATTAGCAAAATATTGAAGTAGTATTTTGTCATGCCTGGAATTCCTCTGAAACGGATTAATGCTATTTCAATTAATTTAAATGAGGAAAACTGACTCAACATACGAGCAAATCGGGATACGAGCCAGGTCACAGAACGGATGAAACTCATAAGCTGAGGTTCCACTGTATATTATTACCCACGCAATAAAGTAAATCTTCTAATTTTACGTGATTATGAATTCAAAACAGAAGGCAAGCATAATGGAGGAGGAGCCCCGAGACATTATAAATGAACATAGGGAATGTTTTAGTGATGGGAATGTCTACACTGTTTATTTTTGCACTCTGTTTTTAAACTGGTATTTTTTTAAACGTGTAAAATTGGCCAAATTATCGACTTCTGTACACCTTACAGGGTAGTTGTAATAACTGAGCTGGCAGTTTTCCTGTGCTTGATTGATAAGACTGGAAGGCATAATAGGAAAATAGCTCAGAATCTGTCACAAGTTTCAATCTTTTATGTGTGGGTTATTTCTGTAAGGTCATACAGTGATGATGTATTACAGTAATTAGCAGAATGAACTGAACAAAAAGGAAGTGGAGGCAAATGCACCTATACATAGAGTCTCAAGAAGGTAAGATGAAGGTCGTGGAGGCCAAGAATCAGAAGAGGTTAATAAGAGCTCAAACAGCCCCTGCAGAAAATAATTGAGCAATACTGTACTGTATACTTTACCAATAGTTTAAAAAACAATTGATTAAATTGCTTGTTTACCTTTTAAGCAACCAAGAACATCTTCTAAGCCTCCTATATGGTCATGATGCCAATGGGTGATAATGATTTTGTCAATAGTTGTTTCTTGTTGTTTCAACACCGACATTAGTGATGAAATGTAGGATGCATTTTCTTTCTCGCCTGCATCCAACAAAACACGTCTGCAAATAAAGACTGCATACAATAAATTTTATATACACCAATATCTTGCACAGTATGGTTTTGAACAGTATGGGTTTTGATATAATACAGTTTATAAATTTAATAATATAAATTTTATTTACCGCATTGTATGGCGAACAAGACTACTATTTCTCTCTGTTCTTCTTACATCATTGCTTATGGTTTTATATTAGTAAGTTAACAGTGTTACTAAGAATAGTTGAGTCTGAATGGAAGAAGACATTAGTAGTGTCATCTGAGAACAGAACTGGTTTAAGGAGACGAGGTGCTTAGGGGAGACCAATGATGTAAGTAAGAATGATCAGAGGGCCAAGGACACTGCCTTGGGGCACTCCTATGGCTACAGACTGAGTAGACGTAGGAAAGTTGAAGATTCTACTGGTTTGTTAAACAGAGCTGCGATAGTGGGCGACAGCACATGAGCTGCTTTTTTGTACATGAGTGGTGGCAAATTATTTAGGTTTCCTGTCATGTTTTTCAGTGACTTTATGAAGAGTGAGACTTCAGTAAGATTAGTTGGAGCTAGATATAGAGTACTTGGGTAATTTCCTGAGTAGCTGAGGTTAGAATTTTGCTAGCTAGTTTAGATCCTATAATAGAGAAGATTAAATTTCTTGGCAGTGCTTGCAGGCTGGATGCATGGTTCATCTTGTTTACTTCAGTTTATAATTGTTCCTGGACAGTTTTCAAGAGCCCAGAATTTCAGATAAAGTTTTCCAGGTCTTTTTCAAATCCACTTGTATTTTGTTAATTTTTTCTTTTATTATTAACACATTGGCCGTTTCCCACCGAGGTAAGGTGACCCAAAAAAGAAGAAACACTTTCATCATCAGAATTCACTCTTTCACTGTCTTGCCAGAGGCATGCCTACACTACCCGAGGCATACCTGGAGGGTGTTCCGGAAGTCTACGCTGCTGCAGCTCGGTCCATGACCAGGCCTTGTGATGGATCAATGTCTAATCAACCAGGCTGTTACTGCTGGCCACATGCAAACCAACGTATGAAACACCACCTGGTTGGTCAGATACTGACTTTAGGTGCCCATCCAGCTCCCTCTTGAAGACAGCCAGGGGTCTATTGGTAATCCCCCTTATGTATACTGGGAGGCAGATGAATAGTCTTGGTCCCCTGACTCTTACTGTGTTGTCTCTTAGCATACTCATGGTGCCCCTGCTTTTCACTGGGGGGATGTTGCATTGTCTGCCAAGTTTTTTGCTTTCATAGGGAGTGATTTGTGTGTGCAGATTTGGGACTAGTCCCTCATAAGATTTTCCAAGGGTATATTATGATGTATCTTTCTCGTCTGCATTCCAAGGAATGCAGGTCAAGGGACTTCATCATTCCCAGTAATTTAGGAGCTTTATTGTACGTGCTTTATTGTATGTGCAGTGAAAGTCCTCTGTATATTCTCCAGGTCTGCAATTTCACCTGCCTTGAAAGGAGCCGTTAGTGTAGTGAGAATAAGCGAATGGAAGAGACTCATCATTGGCTTGGCATCCCTAGTTTTGAGGGTTCTCATTATCCATCTTGTCATTTTCCTACCAGATTTGATAAGAAATAATGTTGTGATCTTCAAAAGTGAGATTCTCTGACATTATCACTCCCAGATCCTTCATATTAGTTTTTTGCTCTGTGTGATTAAAATTTGTTTTATACACTAATCTAGATTTTATTTCCTTGAGCTTTCCACAGCAGAGTAATTGAAATTTGTCTTCATTGAACTTCATATTGTTTTCTGATGTCCATTTAACCCTTTCAGGGTCCGTCTCGTAGATCTACGGCTTTACGTTCAGTGTCTAAACCGTAGATCTATGTCATGAGCTCAGCTCACTCTGATAAACTGTGAGTGGTAAATTTGGGCCTAGATATGAGAGAATACATCTATGTGGTATGTGTGCACCACATAAAACAAATCCTGCAGCACACTGTGTATAATGAGAGGAAAAAAACTGAGACCGTGATTTTCGATTAAAACAGCGACTTTGCAGTGTTTTTCGTATGTTTTTTATAGTTGTATTTGTGATTTCTTGGTCTCATTTGATAGAATGGAAGACATATTACAGAAATAGAGATAATTTTGATTGGTTTTAGCACTGGAAATGGTTTGAAACTGAGCTCAAAGTGGCGGAAATGTTAAATTTTTGCCGATGTTCAAGAATAAACAAACGACCTCACACGTCTAATACACGCCAGCTGGTGGGTCTAATAACATTCATAAATGTGGTGATGATATTTATACAATTATTACAATATTGCATAACAGTAAATCTTCTATTTTTTGGTGTGAATAAAAATTCATTATGTGAATAAAAAATCAAAATGGAATTTATTTGTAAAGCCTCAAAACGTAACTAATGAACAGAGGAAATGTTAGTTTAGTGCCAGGAATACCTACATTGTTTATTCTGGATCCTATTTTGAAATTGGAATATTTTGAACTTTGTGTTAAATTGGCCAAATTACCAATTTCCGGTCACTTTATTTTGTAGTTGAAACAGTTGACTTGGCGATTTCTTGTGCTCAATCGATAGAATAGAAGTAATCCTAGTGAAATAGCTAAGAATTTGGTCGACTGGAATAATGTAATTGGCCTAAAATGGGAGTCAAAGTCGGCAAAATCGCCGATTCGTAAATATCGCTGACACATCAAAATTCACGAGAGCATAATTTCGTCAATTTCCCATCAAATTTCGTACTTTTTGTTTTATTACATTCACAAAAAGATTCTCTACCATTTCAGATTTTGGCCTTGGACCCTGAAAGGGTTAAAGGCTTGGCTAATGTCCACTTGGAGATTTGCAGTGTCTTCAATGGATGATACTGTAATGCAAATTCTGGTATCATCAGCAAAGGAGACATGGTGCTGTGACTTATATATCTGTCTATGTCAGATATGAGGATGAGAAAAAAGATGGGAGCAAGTGCTGTACCGTATAGAACAGAGCTTGTCACTGTAGCTAACTCTGACTTTACTCTGTTTACCATTACTTTGTGTTCTACTTCTTAGGAAGTTATAGATCGACCTACTGCAACCTATCAACACCCCTCCTTCAGAGCACAGGCACTGTACTTCCCACCTCCAGGACTTGAATTCGCCAAAACGGTTTCCCTGAATCCCTTCATGTTGCTTTGCTCACACTCCAACAGCACGTCAGGTCATAAAAACCATTCATTTCCACTTGCTCCTAACATGCTCATGCATGCTTGCTGGAAGTCCAAGCCTCTCGCACACAAAACCTCCTTTACCCCTTCCCTCTTACCTTTCCTAGGATGACCCCTACCCCGCTTTCCTTCCCCTACAGATTTACACGCTTTCCATGTCATTCTACTTTGATTCATTCTCTCTAAATGACCAAACCACCTCAATAACCCCTCTTCAGCCCTCTGGATAATAGTTTTGGTAATCCCTCACCTCCTCCTAAAGGCACTGCCAGGACACAAGCCTATGAAGGATAGGCAAACTCTTTAGTTCTGTGATAACGCTAGTGGGGATTTCAAAGTGAAGCCTTTACTGGTATATCACTCAAAAAATTCCAGAGTGTTCAAGAAAAACAATGTTATTGTGCCTATTGTGGAATGTATTGTGCCTTTGGGGAAGTAAATGATGTTGGATGTGAGTGGCCAGGATGTGGAAGAGTTGGAGGAGGACCACAGGGAAGAGCTAACCACTGAAGAGCTGCAACACCTTCAACAGGAACAGCAACAGACTGTAGCTGAGGATATTGCTTCAGAGGAGGAGGAAGGGAGGGGGGAGAATGTGCTTTCTTCAGTGATTAAGGACATTTGTGCAAAGTGGAGTGAGGGGCAAAGTTTTACGGAGAATTATCACCCTGACAAAACTGTTGCAAGCCGTGTCAGCAACATGTTCAATGACAACATCTTGTCCCATTTTAGGCAAATTTTACAGAGACACCAGAAACAGGCCTCTCTGGACAGATTTTTTGTGCAACAGGGGTGCAGTGATTCTCACGCTGGTTCTAGTGCCATTAAAAAATAAAGAAGGGAAGTAACCCCAGAGAGGGACTTGATATGGAGGAAGAGTCCCCTTCCAAACAATAAGCTCTCCTCCCTCTCCCCTCCTCGCCTTCTTCCATATGCCAACAAGAGTCTTCAACAAAGGTATGTAATGTTCATTTATTATTAATATTACTGCTTTATATTTCTTTCTCATTGTTTTCTGTATGTAAAACTATAGGTATTCTTTAAAAAAAAAAATTTTCGTTAATATTTTTGGGTATCTGGAACAGATTAATTGGATTTACATTATTTCTTATGGGAAATATTACTTCGTTTTTGGCCATTTCGGATTTAGGCCAACCTTCTGGAACAGATTACGGCTGATACCCGGGGGTCTACTGCATTTATTTTTTCTATCTATCTTTAAGGAAAAAAGTCACTACAAACACAGAGTGTAGGTTTCAAATGCTGCTTATATCACAGTAAAAATTTCATTGAAATTGGAAAAAAAAAATACTTAAAATGTTCGCCACTCCCTTAAGTTTGCCCGAAATGCTCTGTATACCAAGGGGCTTTCTGCATGCATACCAAAATGTCACCCTTATCTGTACAAACATTGTATCATGCTGAAATAAACAATCTGAATTGATCTACAGTGCCCGATAAGTCATGGCCGTTTATTTTCAGCTTAGTTATTTGTGGATAAATATAGTTGAATGTTGCAACAAGGAGAAGGCTGAGTCAGTGAAGATGTCATGTCTGAGGGCAATGTGTAGTGTGAATATAATGCAGAGAATTCATAGTTTGGAAATTAAGAGGTAGTGAGGGATTACCAAAACTATTATCCAGAGGGCTGAGGAGAAGCTGTTGAGGTGATTTTGACATGTAGAGAGGAGAGAAGGAAATAGAATGACTTCGAGAGTGTATAAATCTGTAGTGGAGGGAAGGCGAGGTAGAGGTCAGCCTAGGAAAGGTTGGAGGGAGGGGATAAAGGAGGGTTTGTGTGCGAGGGGCTGGGAC